AGGAAAGAGAGAGCATTTTACTGTTTGAATCAGCAAATTAAGTGGGTTCGAAGGTACGATCTTAATAATTCCACTGCGGCATCCATCGTCGCATAATTCATATTAAAAACTTTTCCCTGTAGAAATATCTCAATAGATGTGATCTTCACATCATGAAAGCATGTGAGACATATCGTATTTTGCAACACTTCTAGCGTTATTACACAACCTCTAGTTCAAGTTTTTCATGATAAAGATTGAGCTTTACCAGTAGCTACATGCAGTCTTTTACTATCTATTTTCTCCTAACGTGAACACCTCGTGATTTCGGTGCTCATAATTATTTTAGGGTCTTCGGAAGACAAAGTTCACTTCGCCAAACTGTAAGTCACCAAACCTTAAAACTGTCCTGTCATCGAAATTAAATACTAGCAAGCCTTGAAATTGGAAATTTGAACTTTTGACTGTGTTCCTTCCATTTGCGTCATCAAGATAATAATTATTCCAACCATTTTCATAAGAAAGATGTTCATGGGATCAAGTCAGGGAAATAAGTAATTCTCCGAAGCGAGAGTGTTAGAAATATATAAGAACGTGACAGTCATAAGCGCGTGACACTTGATTAGCGTTACGTTTTATATCTGCGGATGATGTTAGCAATGACGTAGATTGTATTTCCTTAGAAATGTGATCGCGGGTGTATTCAATAAAAAGGAGTGACAGTGACTGAGAAGAGATTCGAGTGATAGGGAGTGATTTTAACTGTGAGCATTAAAAAATATTCAACGAGACCGAGAGTGATTCGTGTTTATATCCGCGTTTCCAACAAGAGTCACTAATCAAAAGAGTACCAGGTGTCCGTCTTTAATGACTCATTTTGCCTGCAGGTACAAAAATGGTGAGCTAATTGCTAGTTAGGCCTCTACAACAGGTTTTTAAAACAACAGAAGCAAGACCAAGTGGGCTAATTTGTCTGCTTGAATAAGAATGGAATTCTTATTTTCGATTTTTAAAAATTGTTTAAGACTCGATTTTTAAAAATTGTTTAAAAAAAAAATTGTTTATTTCATCTTTACACGAATAAGAATGATAATAAAAAAAATCACAATTTCCTTGATTGTGATGGGTTTAAAAAACTCCTGTTTTCCACTGATTCACATACCAAATTGTTATTGGACAATTTATTATAAGACAGTTAATAAGCCAATCTCATTCAATGTTCTAGTTTAAATCAACCAATCACACTAAAATTTTGACTTAATTTAAATTGGAGTGACATTAAACAATCAATGCCTCCTTTGTCAACCTTTTAATGCAAATTTTTCCCTTTCTTTCATGAGTTGGCTATTCTTCTTTTCCTGGAAACTGTAATTTTTTTGATTAACTCGTAAGTCTTATTACGAGTTAATCATAAAATTATGTGTCGTCCCGTTCAGTCTGTAATCATACAAAAAAAATAAACAAATCTGACTCATGCTGTGCGGTGGTCCAATTTTGTTATCACTCGTATGATTAAGGACAAAATCTCCACTTCACTCAGTCCAGCTGTTACCATTGCTTAAATGGGGCAATATAGAAGTGGAAATAAGATTTATCTATGCACTTAGACTAACAATGAATTAACCTTAGTTTTAATAGAAGAGGCAAATCACATTTTTTGAAGAAAGGGAGGCAGGAAAAAAGCCAATGTCATGTGTATCAGGGATAGCATGGTATATAGTGATAGTTGGAGAGGAACAGAGGAAAATAGGGTTAAAATAAAAGCTCTGGAGAGGTCCGTGCGTGTAACTGCCACCAAGTCC